TGGCCTGAGTAAAATGTTCCATTTCTTTCTTAGATTGATTGTTTCCTTTTATGAAATCGTAGTTCCCCCACCATGGGTCGAACCTGCACTCCCTCCATTGCAAGCGCAGACTCTTATCCCCTAGACTGCCAGGGAAGCGCAGACCCATTAATTTTTCTAGGACACAGTGGGTTAAATTGTAATTAGGGTTTTTTCCATCCATTATGTTTTTTACCCCACTGAACTTTTCTCTTTTGTGCCACTGTCCTCTGCAGCTAATTGGATTGAAGTAATTGATTGGTGGGGCTTCCCTGGTGGGTCAGTGTAAAGAATCTGCCTGCCTGCCAATGGAGGAGACACGGGTTTGATCTCTAGGTCAGGAAGATTCCCTGGAGTAGGAAATGGCTACACATTCCAGTGTTCTCGCCTAGAAAATCCCATGGACAGAGCAGCCTGGTGGGCTACAGTCCTCGGGGCAGCAAAGAGTCAAGTAAGACTGAGCACTCCTTCTGCATGAAAGTCAAAGAGTTCGTCGCTCAGCCGTGCCCATCTCTTTGCAACCCCATGGACTGGGGGTTGCCTGCCAGGTTTCTCTGCCCAGGAGATTTCCCAGGCAAGAATGCTAGTCTCCGCGCATGGAATTCTCCAGGCAAGGATACTGGAGTGGGTAGCCATTGCTTTCTCCAGGGGATCTTTCCCATCCAGGGATCGAACCCAGGTCTCCTGCATTGCAGACAGATTCTTTACCGTCTGAGCCACCAGGGGAGCCTTTCTGCATGTTCGTCAAAGGGAAATGCTTGATACCTTCTCTTTCTTTAGCCTTAGATAGTTTGCGCACAATTTCCCCAGCCTCCTCGTGGAGGAGCTCAGCATTTTGGCCTGGAAACGGGAACTACATGACTCAGAATTCCTTGCGTCGAAGGCAGTGTTCTTTATTGGCTCAGGAACACGGGGTTACCGTTTGGGCACAGAGAGTGGGGGCGGGACCGCCTAACTCCGCCTCCAGGCGGCCATTTTAACTGCCCCAAGCTTGTGCCTGGTCCAGAACGCTAGGCTGGGACGGAGGTGATGCGATTGAGGAGGTCCGAGAGGAGGTGCTGTCTCCGCTGCACAGAGGCGGGCCCGAGGTTCGGCGCCTCCCGGGGTGCCTCGCGCCAGGCCCGGGAGCGAGACCGCGGCGCGGGTATCCCTCCTCCTCTCGAGCACTGCGGTCCCCTTCGCCTAGAAGTCCGATGGCGGCGGCGGCGGCGTTGAGGGACCCGCCTCAGGTAAGCGCTCGTCCTCCGGGCCCGCACCGCCCTCAGCCCACTGGACACTAAAGCCCCGAGCGCCAGACGCCTGTTTCCGCTCCCACAGTTCAGGTCCCCGGGTTCAGGACGGTGAGGCACTCGTGGGTGGGGCCTTGCGTCTGACGGTTTGGTGGCGCTTCGGAGAGGGTGCAGGCAGAGGGACCCGCAAGTGCAGAGGCTTGGACGTGGAACTTAGCTGGGTGGATTCGGGCATCCTGGGGTCCATCTGATGTCTGCAGGGAATAAACAACATGAGGCAGCTGTTAAGCCTGGACTACTAGAGTGCAAGTTGTTCATTACTGTGAGAACAGTAATGAAGCGATGGGTAGTTTTAAGAAAGAAAGTGCAGAATCCACGTCAGAGGTTTAAGTGTTTTCAAAAGCTGTTCAAAGGAAAAAGATGCAGAGACATCAAATTGATGACTCCGGGGTGCTCTGGCCTGTTTCATTTAGCCTGGAGAATAAGATCAGGGGGAAATGTGGTCATTTGTGAGCATCAGTAGGCCTGAGGTGCGCCACCGATGGGCTAGGCTTTGGATGAGGGTTAGGTGGACAGAAGAAGGTTGTGACAGATAAGGGAACAGCAGGTACAGCCTCAAAGTGGAGTAGGGCCGTGGATGTCGGAAACGAACAGGCGATGTGTGTGGTTGAGTCTCAGGTAAGAAATGGAGCCTCTCAGGGAGGCCTTTAATAGAAGATTTTGGCGCTGCCACCGCTACTGGGAGCCATGAGAGGCCTAGGGAATTACTGGATCCTGTATGAATTTGCCAAACATATTCTGGATGCTGTCTGTTAAATTGTGGTGTAAGTCCTAAAATTAAGTCCCAGTATTATATGCTGCCTGGACATGTGTTAAACTGGCAGGACCTCAAATGACCGGAGCACCAGTTCCCCACCTTGCTCTGCCCCAGTGGATAGGGTCTCCTTAACTAAACAACCCTTTTCATAAAGGGGCTGAGGTATAGTTCCTGCTTATCCCTCTGTAGTGGGTTTCAGTGCCCTGTCAACCAGCCCTTTGGGGTTATTTAGAAAAGAAACTTGCATCCTCCTTTGGAGAGCAGGGGCACCTTACCTTCTTGGTACTATAAAGCTTATGTCCCACAGCTCTTGGTTGTCCACTGTTTTCCAGAGTGTAACACCTTTTAGCCCTGTGTGGTGTGTGGTGTTCTATTCTATCTGTGGATATATAGGATTAATAAGATGCTACTGATAACATCTGTCCAGTGTAAGTTGTCCTATGTTTGGTCATCACTATAACTCTAGGTAGGAATCCTATCCTCACCAGTGGAGTGAAAAGGATGTGACCAAAATACTTCAACATGAGGGGAGGCCAAGGAGAGGCTTATAGAGTGGGATGGTGAGGTGGTGCTGGCTGTGGGCACGTGCCTGTGGTGTCTGGAGATAAGAGGGATGTGCAATCTAGAGAGTGATGTGTACATGGAGAAGGTGTATGTCTGATGGTCCCAGGTCTCTGGTATTGTGATTTACATGACCTTGACCATACCAGGGTTATTGCCTGGCAGGAGTGTTGGATTCCTCTATGTCAGGCCCACAGTTTTAAGTATCTGTTTGTGCACCTGTCTCTTGTCGCTGATGGCTGGACCCCATAATCAGTGGGCCTGTAGGGATACAATGGCACCAGGGCCTAGTTTCTCCTCTGACTGCGGAGATTGGGAGGAGGATGGTCATAGAATAGATATATAGGGGAATGGATTGTAGGTCCTCTTGAGAGGAGCTTGTTTGTGATTTCATCTGTCCCAATTATGACAGGATAGTGTGACTTTTGAAGATGTGGCCGTGAACTTTTCCTGGGAGGAATGGGGTCTTCTTGATGAGTCTCAGAAACGCCTGTATCATGATGTGATGCTGGAGAACTTGGCACTTATAAGCTCCCTGGGTAAGAACCTCAAACCCACCCCTCCCCTGAGCTAGTCTCCGCCCTTTCTCTTTGTCCATTGGCAAGTCTCCTTTCTCACGTCAGGACCCTGGGCACTGCTTCCTTCATCTGTTCCCTGAGTAGGTGTTGTGGTTGGTAGGGCTGAGGAATGAGCACTGCCCTCTTTTCTCCTTGACAGATCCAAGACCTGCTTCCCCTTGCCTTGCAGGGATGGATCCAGAGTCAGGAGTCTTTCCACCTTGTTTACCCTCTCCATAGCCAGAATTTTCCAGATCCAAGGTACCAGTCTACCCCAGGTTCTATTTCCTTTCTCTGGCTAACATTTCCTCATTCTTGCTTGTTCTAGAAATTGCTGTCATTGACCTGCTCCTTTTATATGGAGCATGGGCTATTCTTGCAAGATACTCCTCTGAAATTCTTTTTGTAATATTTAATTTTATGTCTTGTGCTGAGTTATTTTTGGCCAGTGCTGGCTGCTTTTCTGTCCTGTCTTTATCATAGTCCTTGAATCATCCAGGTTCTTCATATTTACTCATCAAGAGGTTGAAGTGGAGAGGCTGACAGAACAGAAAGGACTCCAACTACAGCACATGTAACTTGGACATAGTCTGGTCCTGATAAGTGGCCCCTGGGGGAGGGTGTAATGTCAGGGCTATATGCAAATCATACCAGAAAGCTATTCTCTGACTAGCCTTTAGGTGCCAATCACAATGGCCGCCATACTTTCTCCCTGCACTTCCCCATTCTTCGGTTAGCCATCTTCTCAACACTGTTACTTGTCACTTCTTATTTCCAACTTAGGGCTAATTCTTACCTCCCTGGACTCCATTCCTCAGTGCTTTTTCACACTGCTTCTTCTGTAGTGCTGTCCAACATCAGCCTATACCTTTTGTGTCATAAGGTATGTACATTTTTAATCCTTCAACACCAGCTGCTCTGTTAAAGTTGGATTTTCCTGAGCCTGAATATAACCTACTACATAGTATTCATGTGTCACTACCAGTCAAGGTCCTACTGAAAATTGTTTGCAGAATGAGCTGTAGACCCTGCCTTTTCTTGTGTCACTCTCCATAGTTGTGTCCTTTACTTTGTGAGGACTTCCCCATTCTGTAATCTTTAAAAGCCCAGTGCTGCTAAGCAGCCCCATCCTTAACTTGAATGCAACCACCTTATCTTACAAACAATCCCATTGACTCATTCCTGGATTTATAATGCCCACATTTGTAATGGGCCTTTTTCTTTGCACAAAGTCAGTATGTATGTCACCAGCATTTCTCTGCTTTCAGGTTGTTGGCCTGGAGAAGAGGATAAGGAGGCATTTTCTGAACAGAGTATTTCTGATCAAGGATGCTCACAGATCAAGATTGTTAAGGCAGGTCTGTCTCCCCAGAAGGCCAACCTCTATGAGATATGTGGCCCCATCTTGAGTGACATTTTTCACTTGGCTGAGTACCAGGAAACACACTGTGGGCAGGAACTCCACGTGAGTGGGATATGTGAGAAGCCATTCTATTTTAGAGTAAACTTTCATCAGCACCAAAAGCAGCATATTGGAGAGAAACCATTGAGAAGTGATGTGGGGAGAGCCTTGTTTGTGAACAGCTGCAAAGTCTATGTATCAATGAAGCCCTTTACCCTTGAGAATATTGGGAAGGACTTCCTGGGCAACTCAGGATTTCTTCACCAACAGGCCACACACACCTGGCACAAGTCACACAGTGGAACTAAGTGTGAGACTCCCTTTCTAAGGGGAAAAAATCATTATAATTGGGGAGACTACACAAAACCTATGAGTGGCAAACACACACTTGTTCAGCACCAGAGAGTCCTCACTAGAGAAAGATGTTACGTGTGCAGCGAATGTGGAAAATCATTTAGCAAAAGTTCTCATCTCATTAGACATCGGAGCGTTCACACTGGAGAAAGGCCTTATGAGTGTAACGAATGTGGCAAATCTTTTAGCCAAAGCTCAAACCTCATTCAGCATCGGAGAGTTCACACTGGAGAAAGGCCTTACAAGTGCAGTGAATGTGGGAAAGCCTTTATCCAAAGATCACATCTCATTCAGCACTGGAGAGTTCACACTGGAGAAAGGTCTTATGAATGTAAAGAATGTGGGAAATCTTTTAACAAAAGCTACAGCCTCATTCACCATCAGAGTGTTCATACCGGGAGAAGGCCTTATGAATGTGGTGAATATGGGAAATCATTTTCCCAAAACTCTGTGCTCCTTCAACATCAGAGAGTTCACACTGGAGAAAGTCCTTATGAATGCAGTGAATGTCAGAAATCTTTTCGACAAAGCTCTGCACTCCTTCAGCATCGGAGAGTTCATACTGGAGAAAGGCCTTATGAGTGTGGTGAATGTGGGAAATCCTTTAGATATATCTCCAACCTCATTACACACCGGAGAGTTCACACGGGAGAAAGGCCTTACGACTGCAGTGAATGTGGGAAATCCTTTAAGAAAAACTCTTCACTCCATCAACATTGGAGAGTTCACACTGGAAAAAGACCTTATGAGTGCAGTGAATGTGGGAAATCATTTCGCCAAAATGTTGTCCTCCTTCAACATCAGAGAGTTCACACTGGAGAAAGGCCTTACAAGTGCAATCAGTGTGAGAAATCCTTTAGATACATATCCAACCTCACTACTCATCGGAGAGTTCATACTGGAGAAAGGCCTTATAAATGTAGTGAATGTGGGAAATCATTTAGCCAAAGCTCTAACCTCATCACACATCGGAGAATTCACTCTGGGAAAAGGCCTTACAATTTGGGGAATCTGTTGAGTTCTTTACCTACAACTCCAGTCTCTTAAAACACTGGATCAAGGCCTTATGAATGCAATGAAAGTGATAAGGCCATTAACCCAAAGTCTTGACTCTTTGGAACCACAGATTTCAGAAGGGAAAAACACCTTACATGTGTAGGATCGTACAATTTCCTTTTTCAGCGAATCTACTCTTGAGATCCTTCCTGGTGGTACCATCTGAATTGAACATCATACATCCAAACATCTGCAAACATCCCAGGTATGTGGGAGCTACATTGTACTTTTTAACCTGGCCTCTTGTCAGACTTCTGTTGCTGACAGTTTCTGTGGCCAAAGCCATGTCACTTCTCCCACCTGGCAGGTTTCAGCCACCCCAGAGTGTTCAGGAAAGGAACCTTGATTTTTCCCATTCATGGGAGGGACTGTGAGAAGCCAGAGAAGCACTCATTTCCTCTCATTGCTTTGATGAGTTATGTCACTGACATGACCCATTTTGAGCCCAGAGGACTCTGCTTGTTGCTCAAGGCTTCCCAGGAAAGACTGCAGAACTTTCTGGTTCTAATATGTGGCCTGAGTGTGTATTTTCTGGGTTCAGAGATCAATCTAAGGAAGGAGTAGTCATTGTGACAACCATCAGTGCTTCTGAAAATAGCATGAAGTTGTCTTGTTTACAGGGGATATTGCCTTGTGTGTGCGCACTGGTGAGGAACATACTCTCAGGCTCTGCAGTGGAGCCATGTGCTCTCACATGCAGAATTCTGTAGGTAGTACCACTGGTTCTAAGATTATGGTGGGGATGGTAATTGTTACAGAAAGCACTAGATTAATAGTGGGAGCAGGACACTATTACAGACTGGTTGGATGTGCCCATTTAAAAGAGCCTCCACAGTGTTCCCAGTCATTGTGGCTGTGAAGGATGAACATGTACAGAAATTCTCAGGCCTCCTAAATTGTGCATCTTGTATTAGCAGAGAGCATTATAGGAGAAAATAATCCAAAAGTTTTGTGGTTTCTGTTATCTCTCTGAGCTGTCCTCCTCAAGGCCATTTCTGTGCAGATAGAAAAGTGAGGATAGAGAGAAGGGATATCTTTTCAGTGAGTAGCAGACATTGTGACAATATTCCTGTTGAGTCACGTTGGGAACAGTCTTCATTGCTTATATTTCTGACCTCTGAGGCCAACTGCCCCTTCCAAAGCATGAGGCAGAAAGGGGTGAAGTCAATATCGGGAATTTATTTAAATGGTGAGAAATCCAGATTTGTATTTTGAATATATTTTTATGTTTTAATAACATAAAAATACTTGCAGAAAATGCACATAGTTAAAGTATACACTTTGATAAGTTTTGACATTTATATGAATCCATGAAACCATCATCACATCCATAAAAAAACTGATGTACTTTCATTTTTACCTTGTTTCCTTTTTTGATGTCACTCTGACCTCTAGTCAACCATTGATTTGTTTTTCTTTAGATGAGTTTTAATTGTCTAAAATTTTATATGATTAGAATCACGAAGTGTTTATGCTTTTCCTCTCAGGTACCCTTATGTGAAATATTTATCAGTGAGTAGTTCGTTTTTTTATATTGAAGAGAATTCTATTCTGTGGATATACCACTATTTGTCCATTCATTTGTTTATCTGTATTTGCGTTCCCAGTTTTTGACTGTTGCAAGTAAAACTGCAGACATTGGAACATATTAAAAGGTCTTCACATGGTTATGTTTCACTTTTCCTGTATTAATACTTTGGGCTGCAATGCCTGAGTTACAGGCTTAGTGAGTGTATGACTTTTTAAAGAAATTATACTATGTTAAGGTAGGAGAGGTTACACAAGAAAAAGATGAAAACCCAGCAGTCTTCCTGATCCAGGTGATAAGAGGCATTAAGGAATTACATCTGTACAGACCCTGAGTCCACAGAGGGGAGAACACTATTTGCCATGCATTTTATCATGCAGGCTACTCCTGATATCTGTAGAAAATTACAAAAGCTTGAGCTGGGCCCCAGACCCCATTGTCAACCTTGGTAGAGGAGGCCTTCAAGGTCTAACTACCAAGACTCGATGGAGGAGGCCAATAAGCATAAAAGACTAATAAAGAAAATGCAGCTCTTGGCTGTTTTGATTCAGCCACCACCTCGAGGGGACCTTGAAGGACTGAGAAAGCTGGACAGACTCCCAGGAAGCCACCTGGGCCTGAACCAATGTGCTTTTGTCAGAAAGGGGGACACTGGAAGGGGGGATGTCTTGAGTGCCCTCCTGGGGGACACCCAAGGGGCAACCCTGACCAACCCCAGTTCTTTGTGAATAAGTTGGATGAGAGAGCTCACACAGTGACTGATGGGGCCCGAGTGCCTGCCTGGATATAGATCCTGCTTGATCCATTTTCATTACCTCAGCAGAGCCTTGGGTCACCCTTGATGTAGCAGGTAAAACTGAATTCCTTATAGACACTGGAGCTGCCTGCTCTGCTCTGACTTGGCCACCTGGCCCTTTCTCCGTCTGTGGACTGTACTGTGACAGGAGTTGGTGGACAGCCAAATGGAAGGCAGTTTAATCTCTCCATGGCTTCCCAGGTGGCACAGTGGTAAAGAATCTGCCTGCAATGCAGGAGACTTGGGTTCAATTCCTGGGTCAGGAAGATCCCTTAGAGAAGGAAAAAGCAGCCCAATCCAGTATTCTTGCCTGGAAAATTCCGTGGTCAGAGGAGTATGGTAGGCTTCAGTCCATGGGGCCGCAGAGAGTCAGCCACAGCTGAGCACATCGGCACATACTGTAATCTAATATGGTTGTTTCCTTTTGTGTTACAGAAGAGTTTGGGACTTCCAGTTCTTCCATATCCTTGCCAACATGTTTAGTCTTTTTAAACTTTTGACTTTTAAAATAAATGTGTAGTGTTATCTCACTGTTGTTTTAATTGCATTCCTCAGATGAGAAGTGTTTTTTCATTTTTTAAATTTCCCACTAGTGTGTGTCCTCTTGGTAACTTTCATCCATTTTTATAGAAATAATTTTGACTGTTTCTCTTCTTATTAGCAAGATAATGAAACAACAAAGACTTAATTTGAAACTTCATTCTTTACGGATGTAATTCCTAGCCATAAGAAATAATTATTTTTAAATTCTGAAATACTATCTTCTAATTTTTTCTGCTGTTTACTGTGCAGTGGCCACGTACAGCATATTTTAAGTTTAATCTGCATTACTATCATAGTCCCCATAATCAAGCCAAGAATTACATTGTTTGCAGTTTCCCCAATGTGAATATTCCCACTGCTGTCAATTTAAAACTTCTAATGTGGTATCACTGAACATGGAGTTTGAGAGTGGACAGCATACCAGTATATTGTGTTTCCTCTGTAGTGATATTTTATGGGCTTCCTAGGTGGCACAGTGGTAAAGAATCCCCCTGCCAGTGCAGGAGACACAAGAGACACGGGTTCGATCCCTCGGTTGGGAAGATCCCCTGGAGGAGGAAATGGCAACATACTCCAGTATTCTTGCCTGGAAAATTCCATGGACAGAGGAGCTCTGATTCCTTATCCTAAAACCTTTGAAATAGGTCTACTCGAAAGGTAAGAACTAGGCCCAGAAAACAAACCAAAAAAAGTTGAGAATTTCACAGCACCACTTGTCACACATGTTTCTTCCTAAATTTATTCAGCCATTGGGGTTACTATTGTGAGAGGAAAATCAAAATGGAGTCTGTATTGAGCAGGGCTTTCTAAAATGGGGTCCAGAGGCTATTAAGGAAGTGTGATTTATGCAGCTCTCAGCCTGGATGGAATCTGTTCTTTTGACTACTTATTGTCCTAATGAAGCCATCTAGAACATCTGCCAGGAACTTAGGATGCTAATCAAACCCTTAGTCTAAAGTAACTCATGATCACCTATCTATACCTGTTGGACCCCAACCCTAAAAAACTCCTGATTGCTTAAGGACAAATATTTCCTAAATCCCATCAGACTCAATCACAGTTCTCACAAGGCAACTTGAAGAAACTCATGGCTTTCTGTCTTTGTAAGCCCCTGAGTCTCTTCTCCCGGAACATTCTTTTGGGGTTACCTGATTCTGTGTCTCCTGAATTGCTTTTCTTAAGACTCCAAATAAACTCTTTTCTTACTTGCAGCCTCCTGTGTTGTTTTTTGGTTGGCATTACGTGGTGTCAGAAGCAGGATACAGGATGCAGACCTGCCCAAGCCCTCACCAACTCTGACACTGCCTTGGATTCAAAGCAGGTGCCTAGAAGCCCTTTGAGCTTTTCATCTCCTTGGTAATCCCAGATCATGGTGGTGAGTCTTCCTGTACTTAAGCCACCTACCTTGGTAGAAGTTCCAGTTTCGACAAAGGGTGTCCTTCGTTGCTGACTTCTGTCCTCTAGGATTTTGTTTCGGGTTTTGTTTGAGTGGCCTCCGCTATTTTTAAAAATATTTTATTGAAGTATAGTTGATTACAGTGTCATGTTAGTTTCTTTTGTACAGCAAAATGACTCAGTAATACGTACATTCTTTTTCACTGTTTTCCATTATGGTTTGTCTGATGATATTGAATATAGTTCCATGTGCTATACAGTAGGACCTTGTTTATCCATCCTATATATAATATAATAGATGGCCTCTGCTAATCCCATATTCCCAGTCCTTCCCTCTCCTACCCCTATTCCGCCCTGGCAATCTCAGGCAATCGCTCACTATATATCTGTGAGTCTGTTGTTCTTTTATAGTGGCTCCATTCCACAGACAAGGAAAATGAGGCTCCAGAACCAGCGGGCAGCCCTGCTGCTGGGATGAGGCAGAGCAGTGACCTGAACCCCGAGGCAGAAGAGTCTCAGCGGGGCGGTTATCTGTCTGCTGAAGACACAGGTGCAGCCTCCAAGTGGGACCCACAGTAGGGATCCCAGCTACTTTGGGAAGAGCTCCCTGACTGGCCAGAGCCCCTTGGCCCCTGGAACTCTGCTGTCCCTGCAGCCTCCCTGTAGGCCCCGCCACCTCTCTGCAGACTCTCAACTCACAGCTGCCCCCTTGGGGGCCTCTCTCTGGGCCCAGCCCTGTCTGTCCTCTAAGAGCCCCCAAGGCAGCCCCATCATTATCCCCCTTTTGAACTAGGGGAAATGTTATGCGTGAGACCGGAGGGGCACCTCTTGCTGTGAGCCCGGCAGAGGTGGGGGTGTAGACATCAGTCCAAGGCTCACCCACCATGTCCCCCCTCCCCTCTGGCCTGGTTGCACCCCAAGAAACCTCTCCTCCTTGTTCCCTCGGGCTCCTCTTAGGATCCCTCTCCGCCTCCCCTGGGGCCCTGTAGATTCTCTCCAGATGCCGCTGGTCCCTGTGTTGATGTTCTCAGGTTGCCTAAACAAGGCCCCACAGTCTGGGAGTTTTAAGCACCAGAAGATTGCTTCCTCACATTTCTGGAGGGTGGAAGTCTGAGATCAAGGGGTTAACAGTGATTTTTTTTGAGGCTTGCAAATGACTGTCCTCCTCCTCTGTTTTTACATGGTCTTTCCTCCTACATGGTCCCTACCCCACAGGCCCAGAACATCTTCCCCAGGTGTCACCCCAAACACATGACTGGCCCTTGCTGCCGCATGTGAGTCATCCCAAGGTTGTTGGTCTTCCTCCTCACGTCGCCTCAGGGTGTCTCCTCCAATCAGCGCCCCGCTACTCAGCTGTCACCCAGTGATCACTCTCACTGTGTGGACCCTGGAAGAGAGGCTCAGGACTAAGAATGTCCACTGTAACCTTCACCAGTCCCTGTCCCCATGGCGCTTCTCTCACCTCCTCCAACTAGTGAGTTTAGTTCTCACCACTTATAGGTAAAAAGAAAACCAGTGACTGACAATGAACATTCCTTAAGAACATTCCTCTTCCCTGCTAGGGAACTAAACTTGACCACTGTCCCTGCATGCACTAGATGAGGTCTGGCCCGTCTTGTACATCTTGTGCCTTTCACATATGATAGGATGACAGTGCCCCACGCTATCACACTATATCCCTAGATACATGGAGGCAGGTTGTATCTAGTACATGAAGTGTTTGTATCCAAGCTGTGTCATGGTGTGGTACCAAAACACAATCACACTGTTCATGTTTCCAGATGTGTCACATACAAATTATTTTATTCCACAGATACACACTTAAAAAGACAAGAGATTGGACTTCCCCGGTGGCTCAGTGGTAAAGAATCTACCTGCCAACGCAGGAGACCCTGGTTTTACCCCTGCTTCAAGAAATCCCACATGCTGAGGAGCAGCTAAGCCCGTGTGCTGCAACTGCTGAACCCACATGCCCTAGAGCCCCAGCTCCGCAACACGAGAAGTACACTGCAATGAAGAGTAACCCCGGTGTGGTGCAACTTGAGAAAAGTCCTCTCAGCAACGAAGACCCAGCCCAGCCAAAAATAAATAAATAAAAAACAAAAGAGATTTACTTCTTGTTGAAAATGGGGAATGAGATTTCCGTCCTCTCAGAGCATTTACTTTAGAAAACTTGTAGGAACTGTCTCATCTTTTTAAAATGCATGTCTTTGAAGACTTCTAAGAAGGCCTTTTTTCAGCTGGTCTTTTTTTTTTTTTCCTCCAGGTTTAGGATTCCTATGTCTTTCTCAAGAACCTGGCTCCCATCTCCTAACACTGAAGATGGGGAGATAGCTCACCAGGCAGTTCTGTTGGGAGGATAGGAGTCTCATCTTAGTGGATGCCGTGCTCCAACTTTAGAAACTACCTTCAGTTATAGAGATGAGAATTTTGTGTTTCCTCTAGATAAAACTAGTAAACTACACAGTCACCCCAATTACCAGGTAAAATTAGGGCTCTGTGTGACAGATGGTATTGTCAACTCCTCTTTCTCGAGGACTAGGGGAGTTAGATTTTTTTTTTCTGTCTTTACAGTTTCCTAGTGGATTGCCTGTGATGCACTGTAATCCTTTAATACTTATTTTAACAATAAAATTGATTTTGTCTCTTTGCTACCTTGTGGAAAAGATTTCTTGATTGGAGAGAAATTTTTGTTTTCATTTCCCTAACAGTCATCATCACACATCTCTCCACAGGGATCAAACCTCATCACCCATCTCATCGGCATCTAGTATACAGGATATATGGGGGAAGGGTGGTCAGTATCAGTTCAACAGTATCAGAGACACATCTAGAATATGCCAAATTCAGACAAACTAATGACAACAAACTGTAAGAAATGAGAATTTTACAAGGTAAGTGCACCCCATGTGTTAAGAGATCTGTGAGAGACAGTTAATGAATGCTTCCAGAATATACTTTGGATTCTGATTGCAACTAATCTGATTTAAGAAACACATTTTGAGACAATTCAGCATTGATAAAATACTTACATTTTTATGATTACTGAGTTATGAAAATACCTTTTTAAAAAGTCAGTTCTGCAGAGATTATACATTAAATGATGCTGTATGTGGAATTAGTACTAGGCCCCCCTTATCTGCAGCAGATAACATCCCAAGACCTCCAAGTGATTGCCTGAAACCAAGCCCTACATGTACTGTTTTTCCCAATATGTATGTACCTGTGATAAAGATTAACAATAGCTGTAATAAAAGTGAGGGACTTACCTGCTGGTCCAGTGGTTGGAACCCCAAGGTCCCAATGCAGGGGCACTTGGTTTGATCCCTGGTCAGGAAACTAGATCCCAAGTGCCACAACTAAGACCCAGCACAGCCAAATAAATATGTATTTGTTAAGATGAATGTGGTCTCTCAAAATATATAATACTGTACTCACCTCTTTTGTGATGATGTGAGATGATAGAATGCCTGCGTGGATTACTAGACAAATGTATATTCATATGGGAGAGATGAAGAGGGTAGTGAAAGATTGCATTATGCAGAAAGGTTTGCAATTTAAAACTCGTGAGTTGTTTCATTTCTGGAATTTTCCATTTAATATTTCCTTGGGTCTCTGAAACGCCTAAAAATCAAGTTTGCGAATAGGTAAGAAACTGGTAAACTAGACCGCTGGTGTAGATGGGGATAGATGAAATAAGAATAGCTATGAAGGCTTCCCTGGAGGCTCAGCAGTTAAGAATCCACCTGTCAATGCAGGAGACATGGGTTCGAGTCTTGATCCAGAAGGATCCCACATGCCATGGAGCAAATAAGCACATTAAAAAAAGCAAAGAATGGCCACGAAATGATGGATGATTGGTTCATCTGGCTTCATAATAGTCTCTTTTTTTATATATATTTGAAAATAGCCATAACAATATACAATATGTCATTGTATCGTTAATTTTATATGCTGAGTAGGAGAAATTTTAAAAAACAGGAGGAAAATTGGCTTTGGGGTTTTGAACATGCATCAACTCATCAAAAGTTACTTATTAATAAGTGTGTATAACAAGTCAATTATACCTGTACATTCAACTTTTAAAGTAAAATATTAAAACTTCCAACTCCCTAATCATAGTAAATTCTATTACTGTGTTCTTGAGATTAATTGTAGCTACTGTATGTCCAAGGTGGAAATAGAATATATTGTTGGGCTGCTGGTAACTTTCCAACTCCCATCAACAGTGAAATCACACTGACTTTTTTTTTTTAGTTGATGTATATTATAGAAATTACAGGTGTATAGTAATTAACATGCTTAAGATTATACTTCATTTAGTTATCACAAAATATATGCTGTATTTACCATGTACAATGTATCCTAGCTTATTTTATAGGCTTATTTTATGGATTTTCCAGGCGGTGCAGTGGTAAAGAATCCATCTACCAATGCAGGGTTCGATCCCTGGGTCGAGAAGCTCCCCTGGAGTAGGAAATGGCAACCTGATCCAGTATTCTTGCCTGGAAAATCCAATGGACAGAGGAGCCTGGCAGGCCACAGAGTCAGACACAACTGAGTGACTAAGCACATAGCTTTATTTTATACCTGATAGTCTCTGCCTCTTTATCTGCTACCGCTGTAGTCTCTTCCCCACTTTTCTCACTCCTCCTCCCTCTCCCCACTGGTAACCACTAGTTTGTTCTCTATATCTGTGAATCTGCTGCTTAAAAATTCATTCAGTATCCCTTGTATTTTTTAGATTCCACATGTAAGTGATATCATACAGTATTTGTCTTCCTCTGGTTGACTTGTTTCACTTAGAGTAAACCCTCTGAGTTCATCCATGTTGCTCTCAGTTCAGTTCAGTTCAGTTGCTCAGTTGTGTCCGACTCTTTGCGACCGCATGAACCACAGCATGCCAGGCCTCCCTGTCCATCACCAACTCCCGGAATTCACCCAAACCCATGTCCATTGTGTCGGTGATGCCATCCAACCATCTCATCCTCTGTCGTCCCCTTCTCCTCCAGCCCTCAATCTTTCCCAGCATCAGGGTCTTTCCCAATGAGTCAGCTCTCCACATCAGGTGGCCAATGTATTGAAGTTTCAGCTTCAACATCAATCCCTCCAATGAACACCCAGGACTGATCTCCTTTAGGATGGACTGGTTGGATCTCCTTGCAGTCCAAGGGACTCTCAAGAGTCTTCTCCAACACCAAGTTAAAAAGCATCAATTCTTCAGCGCTCAGCTTTCTTTATAGTCCAACTCTCATATCCATACGTGACTACTGGAAAAACCATAGTCTTGACTAGACGGACCTTTGTCGGCAAAGTAATGTCTCTGCTTTTTAATATGCTGTCTAGGTTGGTCATAACTTTCCTTCCAAGGAGCAAGCAAGCATCTTTTAATTTCATGGCTGCAATCACCATCCGCAGTAATTTTGGAGCCCAGAAAAATAAAGTCAGCCACTGTTTCTACTGTTTCCCCATCTATTTGCCATGAAGTGATGGGTTTGCTCTAAATGATGTGTTTCTCTAAATGACAAAATTTCATTGATTTTTTTTTTTATGACTGAGTAGAACTCCATTTTCCTTGTGTGTGTGTGAATATATATCAGTTCATCTGTTGATGGACACTTTATCTTAGTAATTATAAATAATGCTGCTATGAACATTGCGGTGCATGTGTTTTTTCAATGTATACATGTTTTTTTAAAAGTGTTTTTGGTTTTGTGTTTTTTTGCACATATACCCAGGAGTGGAATGCTGGGTCATACAGTAGTTCTAGTTTTAGTTTTTTGAGGAAGCTCCTTGCTTTTCCCCACAGGGTATACACCAGTTTACATTCCTAACAACAGTGCACAAGAGTTCCCTCTTCTCTACATCCTCTCCAATGTTTGTTATTTGTGTTCTTTTGGATGATAATCATTCTGACAGGCATGCATTTCCCTGATGACTAGTGATGTTAAGCATCTTTTCTTGTGCCTGTTAACCATCTGTGTTTCCTTTGGGAAAAAAATGTGTATTCAATTCTCATTTTTTATTTGGACTGTTCCATTGATGTTGAGTTGTATGAGCTGTTTATGTTGGCTATTAACCCCTTATTTTGGTGGCTCAGACGGTAAAGCATCTGCCTGCAATGTGGGATACCTGGGTTCGATCCCTGGTTTGGGAAGATCCCCTGGAGAAGGAAATGGCAACCCACTCCAGTACACATGCCTGGAAAATTCCATAGGTGGAGGAGCCTGGTAGGCTACAGTCCATGGGATCACAAAGAGTCAGATATAACTGAATGACTTTACTATATATATAACCCCTTATCAGTCACATCATTTGCATATTTTTTTTTCCATACAGTAGGGTTTTTTTTTTGATGGCTTTCTTTGCTGTGCAGAAGTTTTTAGTTAAGTCCATTTGTTTGTTTTAGGGACAGATCCAAAAAAATATCGGTACGATTTATGTCAAAAAATGTTCTGCCTATGTGTTCCTCTGGGAGTTTCATGATTTCTGGTCTTACACTTAGGTCTTTAATCCATTTTGAGTTTATTTTTGTATATGGTTATAGAGAATGTCCTAATTTCATTCTTTTACATGTAGCTGTCCAGTTTTTGCAGCACCATTTATTGAAGAATTTCTCTATTGTATATTCTAGTTTCCTTTGTTGTAGATTAATTGATCATAAGTACATGGATTTATTTCTGGATTCTCTATTCTGTGTCAAAATCAGGGAGTGTGTAACTTCAGATCTTTTCAGAATAAGGTAAAATTTACGTCATAAGGAAGCACACTTATGTATTGTTTCCTTTTAAGGTTGATAGACATCATTGTATTTCATCAAATGCAAGATTTCATCCCATTTTCAGAAGAACCATGATTATATGTACCACTGAAAAAATACACAGCCAACTAAATCATGTCACACATTCAATTAAAAACATCCTGATTTCAGAGATGGGAAA